ATTGCAATATAAATATTTCATTTTCTCTTTTAACCAGTTTTTAATGCAGAGAAAATGCATTAAAATATGCTTTTATTAATTTAACCCTTTTTGTACTGGGTTGGGAATTGAAGATTTGAAGAAATGTAGGCTTTGTAATTTTTTTTTTTTTTTAGATTTGCATGTGAATTTGCCAGAGAGACAGAGAGAGAGAAAGTGAGAAATCACCTCCAGGGACTATGGTCATGCTGCAATCCCTTTTTCTTCATTCTCCTCTTGGGATTTAGGGCATGGATGCACACATGCCGGTTGTGTTTCAAGCCAGGGATGAAGGACTGGAACAGCCATTAGCCATCTCAGAGTCCAGCATCTTAACCACTATGCCACCTGCTGGCCAGAGCTTATCATTTATTATAATGATGCCTCTAGGTAACGAGTATTTATATTATAATATGTTTTTCTTTCTACTTCCAAGTATCTGGTTAACTCAGAGGAGTCTTGTAGTAATTGCAGATTGAGAGAACATAAAGAATGTGGACTGGGCCTCCCAGCTACCTTCTAGCAGGTATTGCCCTTGTCATCTGATACCTGGAGTAGCCAGCCTTAGACTTTATGTCAGGATGGCACACTCTATACACTTGAGCCTGTTTTGTGCTCTCAAGAGTTTAATAAACTCGTGATTTCTTCATAATGGCTAAAGGTGAGATCTCATGAGATTGGAGGAGCAGGACAAGTGAGAAAACCCTGTGTCCAGGAAATGGTGAAATTAATCTCAGAGAAATCACACCTGTAATTTTAATCTTCACTGAGAATACCATGCTTCTAAACCCACTTTTAAAAATTCTAGGCTGCAAACAAGTCTATACTACAACATCTTTACTACTGGAGAGCTCCTTTAGGTGTATTTTGAATTGCAAGCATGCCCACCAGGGTTGTGCATCCAGACACACTCACAGGAAAGCTTAATGAGTTCTGCTTCTTTGGAATGGTCTTCACAGAAGAGCAAGACTGCACTCTGGCCAGTCCGACCAGCCAGGCTGAGGCTGAGGGCTGCATGGCAGGCACCAGATGTGTAGGTGTCTGCCTGTACAGTTCTCTGAGTGCATGTTGAGCCTGGTTAAGGTTGTTGAAAATATAGGGCCCTGATCCTAATCTGAGAACACACTGAATTTCTTGCAGTATGTTCTACAGTAGCATCTTACACATGCTTCTCAGACATATCTTAGGCACCAGGAATGCTTTTCACAGACTATCATTTGGAGAAAAGAGTTCCCTCTAGGATTATTATGAAGCTCTGATCATTAGACTGAGTATTTTGTTAAAAGCATTAAACAGATGCAGCATAGTAATTGGCTTCTATCAAAGCAATGTGTGGATCTTTGAACCAGACTGAGTCTGTCATCCTGCACATCTAAAACTGCCCAGCATCAGGTAGAACCTGGGACTTTGGGCAGAAAACATGAAAAATTGGTGTTGGTACCAAAGTTCCAGAAACTGCATTGCCTCACAGGAAGCGTTACTACCATGTTCCACAGACAGACCTAGACCAGGTGGTCACTGCTCAGAGGAGGTAGGCCTGCACCCTCTGAGTTCAAAGGCAGAAGCTCAATGCCTGACTTGGTCTCCACACACAGGGGCTAAACAGGACAAGGTCATCAAGGGCTTCAGAGCCATGAAACTCCTAAGACCAGGTTTAACTGAGCAGGAGCCAAATGTGGAGACAGAGATCCATGATGTATAGAGAGGAATTCATGGTGTTAGACAGGAATGATGATGTAGTGTAGATGGGGAGCCATGATGTATAGACAGGGACCTATGAGGTGTAGATGGGGAGCCATGATGTATAGACAGGGACCTATGCGGTGTAGATGGGGAGCCATGATGTATAGACAGGGACCTATGAGGTGTAGAAGGGGAGCCATGATGGTGTGTAGATGGG